CTAGCGTACACCAGTCCTTTGATGGAGCCCTGGCGGCTCTCCACACCAGCCAGCACGGCCGCCGCCGCCGCGTACAGCGCCATGCACCACTGCCGCGCGCCTTTACGGTTCTGTCGCAACGTCGCGGCCGCCCCAACTTCCGGGGTTAAAGGGCGCAGAGGCGGGGCACCGGAAGCCCCAGTGCCGTGGGAGTCTCCCAAGGCGGATGTCCGTATGTTAGAGTAGGGAGGCGGGCCCTGGGAGCGCATTTCTCCACTTCTTGTTAGGGTTTCACTTTTTTTTCTTTCCATTTTTGCCCATCTAATAGCAAACAGTGGGATTTTACTGCTGTTATTAAGGTTGAATGTCTTCATACTTATTGGTCATTTGTACTTCTGTTATCATAACACTAGAGGCCTGATGCAGGTTTTGTGCTAGGGCTGGGGCCTGCTGCGGGGCCACCTCTGCCTCCGCCGCCCCAGCTTCTTGGGGAAGGTCGTCCAGTCTAATTAGCATATCACGCTTTTATTATTATAGAGGATATTAATGTGTTGCCCTGGAAGTCAGCTCACTCTTATGCCATCTTTCTCTTAGTGCCCTTTATATATTAACATTATATACTGACAACGTAAAAAACATTCAAGCCTGTAGAGAATTTTTGTGAGTTTATTTGAGCCAAACTGATGACAATTGCCCAGAAGTAGTCTCAGTGGATTGAGAATATGCTCCAGAGAATGGCAGTTTTGCAGTTTATTTTATACATTATAATCATAAGAGGAAATATAAGTGGTTTACATGAAATCCATTGATGATAGATTAGGGAGGCAGGAGAAAGCAAAGTGGGGAAACCTCTGGGATTGGGTAAAAAGTAAAATGATAGTAATTCTGAAACAAGTGTATGTGTATTGTAGAATTGAGCAAAGAAGTAACTATATTTTGTTGAGAGCCAGGCTTTTTAAAAAATATATTTTATTGATTTTTTACAGAGAGGAGGGGAGAGGAAGAGAGTTCAAAACATCGATGAGAGAGAAACATCAATCAGCTGCCTCCTGCACACCCCAACCTCCTGCACACACCACAACCAAGGTACATGCCCTTGACTGGAATCGAACCCAGGACCCTTCGGTCCGCAGGCCAATGCTCTATCCACTGAGACAAACCAGCTAGGGTGGGAGCCAGGCTTCTTGCAGTGAGAGAAAGGAGCTACATATATAAAATGGTGAAAGGCAAGAATTATACAAAATTTTCTCTAGTCTGTCCACAGGAAGGATATTCTCAATAACACTTTAGTGGCAATGACCACACCTAGATTCCAGATCTTGGGTTCTAATATCACTTCCCACTAAAAAGAATCAGGGGTCCTTAGCAACATGGCTGAGTGCAGGGCTGGGCCTGGGAGAGTAACCTGGACCATCTTGTGCCAGAAGTAAGAATGTGCCCAAAGAATGGCAGGCACAGAAGCCAGCTTGAAGGAGCTCCCACTGACCAAATCTGGTACAATCTGAGCATAAAAATAAATTATGATAGTAATGGATTATAATTCATTAATAAAATCAGAATCCATAGATTCATATTGACAGAAATAAATAAAAGTAGAAGGAAAGGCCCTTACAATAAAATGTTAAGTAATAAATGCAGAAGGAATGATTGTTTTAAAATCACTATATGGCAATCATAGCAGTAATTTGATTCAGGCAAGAGCCATCAATTACTATAAGAAACAGGTTACTTTATTTAAAACAAAGTGGGGAAAGTAACTTACAGTAGAAAAAGTTGGAGGACATGTCCAGGACTTGGTGATCAAAATTAACATTGCCAGCCCTAGCCAGTTTGGCTCAATGGATAGAGCACTGGCCTGCGGACTAAAGGGTCCTGGGTTCAATTCCAGTCAAGGGCACATGCCCAGGTTGTGGGCTCAATCCCCAGTAGAGGGCGTACAGGAGGCAGCCGATCAATGATTCTCCCTCATTATTAATGTTTCTATCTCTCTCTCCCTCTCCCTTCCTCTCTGAAATCAATAAGATATTTTAGGGAAAAAAGTAACATTGCCAATATGGGAGCAAGTCACAATCTCCGACCAGTTGGTAGCATCACTTTCGCAGTATTCCTGCCATCTATGCATAACCAGAATCAAATGAGGTATTAAACACACCCAAATCGAGGGACATTCTACAAAATAATTGGTCCCATCTCTTCAAAATGGCAAAGTTGAGAGGACAAAGAAAGACTAAGACTGACCCAGATGAAGGAAAGCTAAAGAGACATGACAACTGAAATGTAACTAGTGATCTTGGATTGGATCCTGGACCTGAAATAGTCTTACAACAGAGGACAAGGAGGACAATGGGTGACATCTGAATAATGTCTGTAGGCTGGATAACAGTGTTTTATCAATGTTAATTTCCTGATTTTGACACATTTGCATTGTGGTTATATAAGAGAATGTCTTTGATTTTAAAAAATGTTTAATTAAAAAAAAAAGATCTTGCCCTGGCCTAGCCGGTTTGGCTCAGTGGATAGAGCGTCAGCCTGCAGACCACAATGCGTCCCGGGTTCGATTCCGGTCAAGGGCACATGCCTGGGTTGTGGGCTCGATGCCCATTGTGGGGTGTGCAGGAGGCAGCTGACCGGTGATTCTCTCTCATCATGGATGTTCTATCACTCTCTCCCTCTCCCTTCCTCTCTGAAATCAATAAAGATATTTTAAAAAAAAAGATCTTTTGATTGCAAACACTAACTCTGGCTAGCCAAACAGAATTTATTAAATAGGTGTCTGTCTGAAGGCAGGAAGATGCACACAAAAGAGTAGTTGAGGACATTTTAAAGAAGGGACTGGTTAGAGTTAAGAGAACTTACAGGGGATGGTGCAGTACTCAGGGCTAGCAGCAGCACTATTCACCACCAGGCCTGAGGAACAAGGAAAGAGTAACAGAAGGAGGGAGCCACCTGCCAGGACTCTTAAGTAGAGGGAAGCTGCTAACCCATAGCCCAGCAGGCAGGAAACCAGGAAAATAAATACGTACCTCAAACCCCCTCTCCTGCCCTTGGATCTCCTGCCAGTCCTTCCCATCAGCTGAGCCCAGCAGAAGCCAAAGAGTTTTGTGTTCCATCAGGGCCAGCCTCCCAGGACACAGAGCAGGATGAAGAAGAGTGGAGAGTGGCTTTGGAGGGGTGACACTCCAGCCCGGTCCTAGGACTGAAGGAACTGCTGCATATCCAAAAACAAGGTCTGAAAGGTTTCAAGCACACAGCACCCAGGGCCAGCGCCTGGCAGATTCAGCCAGTAAGATACAAACACCATTTGATTCAGACAGTTTATTACTTACATCGAAAGCAGAAGGAAAATTAGCCAAAAGTGCCAGCTCCAGGTGGTCCTTGTTGTACACACAAAAAAGGATGCCGTGGAAACCAAAGGGTTGATGACTGCAACACCAGTTGTGGGATATGCTGTTGCTGAGGAGCCAGTTCTACACTCCGCTAAGCTGTTTTGTAGTCTGCAACTCTACTTGGAGGGAGATGGAGCAAAAAGCCTCATTCTTCAGCAGAGCCTAGGAGGTGATATCTTCTGATAGTCTCCTGTGAGATAAGGAGGTGGGTGGACATGGCCTTGAGGTAGCACCTCACAAGCCTCCCATCCTCTCTGTTCCTGGAGGATCACTCAGGCTGTCGGTCAAGCCTTTGCCTGTGTGGCCTATGTGGATACTTGCCATGGCACCATAATGGAGCTCTTCCCCATGGAAGGCTCTCAGGTGGCTTCACAGACCTCAAGTCTGGGGAGCTCTCTAAACTTTTAGAGCCTAAAGCACCAGGTCTCAGGTGACTGGGTCCTCAACGATGTTCTCTCTCCCAGTGTTCAGATTCTTGGGAGAGACACCATCAGTTGTGGCCAGGAGCAGGCTCACCATGAACATTCATGGGCTCTGGCCTCCCTCCATGTGCATGGCAGCTTTCAGGGATGGGCTGAACCCCTGACTGGTTCCAACTTGCTTCTGCTTTAAAGTAGTGTCATTTCCATCTCATCTCACAGAGAGGGAAGTCAAGAGAGTCTTTAAGGACAGAGCAGTGATGGAATAGTTGATGTGACTCTAACCACAGAACAATGGGCAGTGGGTAGAAGCAAGCTCTGGCCCCACTAGAGGTTGGAGACCCAAGAATAAAGCAATTCTGTACAGTAACTAATATTTGCAAATCATTTAAAGAGAAATATGGATGGGAAGGCAGAAGTGGGTAGAGGTGAGCAAAGGGCAGGGAAAGGGGGAATACCTGCAATTTTGTCAACATTAAAAATAAAAAATAATTTTTTAAATAAAAAGAAATAAATAATGTAAAATTTCTTGTCTTTGAAGTTATTTTAAGTTCACAATGATAATGAAAAATTATGTATGGGAATGTTTCCACCCTCAGTTGGAGGAGTAAGCAACAAGCATGGTAGGAGGGACCAAGGGAAGCCCAAGGCCCAGTTCTGCTGGTTAAGAAGCAGGTTAATAATCTAACAATAGGTAAATAAACATGCTGTTCGCTGATGGGGAACTGTGGTCCTTTTCTCCATATCACTAAATGTTTCCAGGGTCACAGAGGCATGAAGACCTTCCAAACAGTAAAGATGTAATCTCTGTTTGCTGGACCCAACAGAATCCCTGGAGTCCCCATGCCCAGATGGGAAGGGCCTGTGAGCAGGCAGCCCCATGAGCACCCCTACAGCTTGGTGGGCTGTGGAGAGCTGAGATGACTGGGCCCGCTGGGCGGGGGCAGCACCATGGGCAGTGAATTGCTGCCCCTTTCATGCCAGCATGTGTCCAGGATGGGGTAGAGCTTGCCCTGGAAGTCAGCCTGGAATGTGTAGAGTGGTCGCAGGTCATCTGGGCGGTCAGCATCGAAGAAGGTGAGCTCTCCCTGCTCATAATGCAAATAGACGCCAATGCGGTGGGGGTGTCCGGCCACGGGCAGGGGCACCCTCGGGCAGCCAAAAGCCTCATACACCCGGCCCTCCTTCAAGCCAATGAGCCACATGCCATGCTCTGGGGACTTGCTCAGCTTGCCCTTGCGACTGGCTGTGCCCTTGATGACTCCCAGGCGCCAGTCACTCTTGATGCCCACCACCACCTCCCAGTAGTGGCGGCCACAGGAGAAGCCCCTGCTGGCCAGGACACAA